ATTTCTTTCTCAGATTTTTCTGTCCCCTAATTATTTCATTATCGAATCCTTTCGTTTCTGAACGTATTCTTAAATAAATTAAATGTAAAAGAACTATCGTTGTGTCAGGTGTACGAGTTCCATCGCCATCTTTGTCGCGTTTTATTTCTTTCTCGAATTTTTCTGTCTTCAAATTATTTTATTATTGCATTATTTCGTTCTTGAACGTATTCTCGAATAAATTAATTATATTGGAAGGAAGGATTGTTGTATCAGATGTATGAACTTCATCGCCATCTTTGTCGTGTTTTATTAGTTTCACTGATTTTTCTGTCCACAAATTATTTTATTGTTGAATTCTTTCGTTGTCGAATTATTTTGTTCCTAGACGTATCGTCGTACAAATTAATTACATTCAAAGGAACAATTATTGTGTCAGGTGTACGAGTTCCATCGCTATTTTTGTCATGTTTTATTTCTTTCTCGAATTTTTCTATCCTCGGATTATTTTCTCATCGAATTATTTTATTCGTGAATGTATTTCCAAAGATTTTTGCTGAGAAGGCACTCCTGCCTGATATTAACTTTTATGTTAAGGGTATCACGATGAGAATTCGCCCTAAATGCATTCGACATAGATGATGAAATTCGCCGAAATCCCAAAGGACCGCGTAGAAACGACTTTTCTTGCGCGAATGAGGAACTCGTTACACAATGCGTTACAAATCGAGTTAAAAATCTTTGCTGTTAATTCAACGAAGTCAAAGTGTCGGGGTTAAAAACGGTTCAAAGCGAATAAAGCTAGGAACAAATAAACGTAAAGTTCTTAATTGTACAACTCAAAGCAACGCAAAAATTCTGACCCTTTGTTCAGCACAAAGGCTTCTCGAAAACTACCTCGTGCATGCATCTTACGAAAAGGTATACTAACAAACCGCACCTTCTCTTTATTTCTACTTTGCATTCTCTTTTGCCCGATTCAAAAACTACGCAAACATTCTCAGAACACGTTTAATTATCCGAAAGTATTAAGCGGTATACGCTCTTTCTTTTCACCCTAAATGACAACCGGTTACTTCCGTCAAATATTAACGAATTTTCCACCCTACACAAACGACCATTATTTATTTATATATTTCCCAATAAACCACGAAGCCATGCGTTCGCGGATAAATAAAACTAAATTTTTAAAAATTATTTTAAAAAGTCTAGCCAGTACCAAGTTCTTATCCTCGCTAGTAGATGGATTCTTACTTGAAGGAGGTTCGAGGACTTTCTCGCAAGTCCTCGGTGAAGCCGCGATTTCCCTTAAATAGAAGTTCCGATGGTACCTGAGTATCCTATATGCTATCTAAGCTTCTATGCTACCTAAGTTCCTGTGCTACCTAAGTTCCTATACCACCTAGCTTCTTGTGCTACCTAAGTTTCTATGCGACCTAAGTTCCTGTACTGCCTAAGTATCTTGTATGCTGAATAAGTTCCTGTACTACCTAAGTATCATATATGCTACCTAAGTTCCTGTGTTACCTTAGTATCATATATGCTACCTAAGTTCTTGTGCTACCTAAGTTCCTATACCACCTAACTGCTAGTGCTACCTAAGTTTCTATGCGACCTAAGTTCCTGTGCTGCCTAAGTATCTTGTATGCTAAATAAGTATCCTATATGTTACCTAAGTTCCTATGCCACTTAAGTTCCTGTGCTACTTAAGTTCCTATGCCACCTAAGTTCCTGTGCTACCTAAATATCCAATATTCTACCTAAGTTCCTATGCCACCTAAGTATCCCTGTCTAAGACAAGGCCTGCTAGAAAAGCCTTACTGACATCCCTTCCTTTTCCTGTCGTCCTTCTACCTGCTACCCTATCAATAGCAACGAAGACCACGGGGATACCAACAGGCCAGCACCATACGAACACCAAACCATAGTAGGAACCGCAAGAGACAACACAATTGGTAAGAAGCTCTCCGCTCGAGTACATCGAGTTAACTATTGTACTTAATAAATCTCTCCCTCGAACACGAAACATTTGCAGTGGTATCTACCCTAAATCTGACATCCAATCCCTACAAAAGTTTTCGAAAATTATTTAAACGAATTGTTTAAAATTAAATTACACGCGTCGTTCGTCCCAACGCCTGATTCGGAAATAACACACTGGCATTTGCGATCTCGCTTACACCACACAGTTCACCTGCTTTCACCCCCAGCCTACTGACATGTCCTACATCCCCCGTTCCGGAGTCACGCTTATTGAAACTCGATAAAAATTACATCCACCCGAAAGTACGTCGAGCAGAAGTCCCTCAACGTAGTTCCAACCAATAACCGGCCGCATGACAGACGTATCATCCCATCTCTCATCCCTCGCACAGAGAGAATAAACCGATCCCTCGGTACCTCCATCAAGCATCTCACTGATCTTCCTTTACCCTGCAAGACCAATACCACTGTATCGGCTATACGATTATCCAGAATCTCGAGAATCAGAGACGTCGCTGAGAGACGAGAGCCGTGACGGATAGGGAGGGGCCAGCAGCGATCGACTGGTCCCAATCACGAGGACGTTCCCCGCGTTAAAACCGGGCAAGGATTTTCGTCGTCCAGGCGAAAAGCCGATACGTTGAGGGATTACCCGGGCAGATCGGAATTTTCCAAGGGATTACAGCTGGCGACCTCTATCCGGCTCGGCCAGGCCTCCAGTTCGCGACGTTGAGAGCCGCTGTTGGGAGATTGGAAAAATTATAATCGGCCAGACACCTGTTGGCTACCGATTACGCGGGAGATGACGGCGAACCACGGAAACGGAAGTAGAAACGATATAATTCGATTAGATTTCGGATAGACCTGGTGGGTTAGGTTAGCTTTGGTTTACGACACCGTATTAATAGGGTTGCCGGAAATTCCGGGGAATTTATATGTAAACTTGGCCAGGTCATGTGATCCAGAAGGGAATGTGGAATAATCCAAATTGCCTGTGGCAGGGGCTGATGGGAAACGAAGATTAGAGCTTTTTAATTTCTATTCCATAGTTTCAGCGTGGATCTTGGATTTTTCATAGATCTAATCCAGTGAAATTTTTGATATTATTTATTTATTTATTTAATTATAATTTACGGGTAGTAGAACCCATTAATGTGCAAACGACAAATTTAAAGGTACATTAGTTTGTTAGAGAAAGAATATAGGTTAGGTATGGTACAAATGCAGATATAGCCGATATAAACAATTTGCTTAGAGATTTAAGACCTGGTTTTTAAACGAAGAGATACTATTGCCAAAAAATTGAAGGTTTGATGAGAAATTGATTGCAAAAATGCATATTCTATCGATAGGGTCTACTGATTCAAGTCGTGCAGTATTATGCTGGTATATACGATGATTCTTCGGTAGCGTGCATGAGTCGGAGGAATATAATTAGGCTTTGGCAATTACTAATTTGTCCGAGGAATTTTTCCAGGTGAAATTCGGAAAAATTAATTATCGAACTTGGAAATGACATTTTCTCGATTACACCGTGAATTTTTCATGTCCATCGCAGGCTAATGGGAAACGGAGATTAGGCGTTTTTAATTTCTATTCGACGGAGTTAGCGTGGATTTTTTGTAAATCTAATCGAGTGAAATTTTGGATATTATATACGATGATTATTTTATTCCACGAGTCAGAAAAATATAATTAGACTTTGGTAATTACTTCTCTGTCCGAGGAATTTTTCGAAGTGAAATTCGGAAAAATTAATTATCGAACTTGGAAATATTGTGGTAACAACTAAATAGTGAACTCTATATCCTAGTAATATGAGGACGATCCCTTCCCCTGTGTTTTGTCCTTTGTCTCCCCTTTTCTGGAGACGTCTTGTGACCTGCATGGCCTCAAACAGATCAGTTCTCATCGTTCGTTTAATAAAAATCTATACAGTTTTTTCACCGTTTTCCACTGACTACTATTCCTTCGCGTTATAACCCCTTAACAAAATGAAATTTTTTCGATTACCCCGTGAATTTTTCATGTCCATCCCAGGCTCATGGGAAACGGAGATTAGGCGTTTTTAATTTCTATTCGACGGGGTTAGGAATTTTTTCAGGTGAAATTCGGAAAAATTAATTATCGAACTTGGAAATTAAATTTTTTCGATTACCCCGTGAATGTTTCATTATCCTTCGCAGGTTAGATTTTAAAATAAAAATTGTGCAATATTCCGACGACGCGTATATATTCAAAAAATGCAATTACAAGTTTATAATTTGTAGACTGGTTATCGTTCGTGGAATTTTTCGAAAATCGATTTCCTTCGTGTATTTTAATATACATCGATTGCGTAAATACACGGAGAAAATTTGATTCGGGTTTCGATGATTCGCTTGATTAAAAAATGAATCGTGGAAAAATGATTTTTCTCGTGTCACTTGTAAACCGGGTTATAAAAATTGTAGTTTATTAACCTTCCGTATGTTACCCAATCCATTCTGCGCTATTTCGTGCATTGATTCGTTGTTTCTGTTATCAACGATATATTCTCCATCCGCGCGTGTGTTCGTGCGATAGTCTGGGCGTATTAAAAACTGCTATCTAAAATATTCAACCACATAACAAATTTATAAATATTCATACGTCTATTCATGCGTTGTGTGCAAAAAAAAAAAAATCGCGATCCAGGGAATTAATTTAAAAATTTTTTAGACCCAACTACGTGCCCCGTAATATGCAGTACGTAACGAAAAACGATATAAACACGTCGATCGAACAAATGAGAGAATAAAAAGATTCACAATCTGAGATACCAATTCGAAGTTTTGGTCTCCATGCGTAGCAGTAGATAATAATTACTAAAATTTCCACAACGTGAAGTTGACAATGAAAATAAAATATGAAAATATTTTCTCGCAAATTCTTCCTGTTCCAAATGGATGTCAACAAAACACCAAGGGTTCCAACGAAATATTTTGAAGAAATTGAGGATACTTTAAAAAAGGGGAAGAAAAGAAAAAAAAAGAAAAGCGTTTCTCGAAATAGGATTTCTATAGTATGTTGTCGTTGTCGTTGTTTTCGGTGTTGCTGCTATTGTCGTCGTTGTCATTGTCGTGGTCGTTGTCGCCGCTATAGTCATTGTCGTCGTCGTCGTTGCCGCTGCTATTGTCGTGGTCGTTGTCGTTGCCGCTGCTATTGTCGTTGTCGTTGCTATTGTCGTTGTCGCTGCTATTGTCGTTGTCGTTGCCTCTGCTATTGTCGTTGTCATTGACGTTGCTGCTATTGTCGTTGTCATTGACGTTGCTGCTATTGTCGTTGTCGTTGCCTCTGCTATTGTCGTTGTCATTGATGTTGCTGCTATTGTGGTTGTCATTGACGTTGCTGCTATTGTCGTTGTCGTTGTCGCTGCTATTGTCGTTGTCGTTGACGTTGTCGTTGCCTCTGCTATTGTCGTTGCCATTGACGTTGCTGCTATTGTCGTTGTCGTTGTCGCTGCTATTGTCGTTGTCGTTGCCTCTGCTATTGTCGTTGTCGTTGTCATTGTTGCTGCTATTGTCGTTGCCGTTGTTGCTGCTATTGTTGTTGTCGTTGCTATTCTGGCTGCCTCTGCTATTGTTATTGGTGTTGTCATAGTTATCATTGCCAATGTTATTGTTTTGGCATTGCTGCTGTTGTTATTGCTATTGTTGTTGTTACTGCTATTGTTGTTGATGTGAGTCGGGAAAAACTCTGGCAAAGGAAACAGTATTAAACCGTTGCACTCAACGATTTTTTGACTAAAGGAGAGTGGGAGTACGAAGATTTTCTGCTTACAAAGCGGACGATACTTTTTGGAGCAGTAAATAAGAAATAGTATAATAACTGACACAAAGAATTATTTAATTTCAATACCTCGCACAATTATATTATAATATTATCATAATATTTTAGTTCAAGTAAATCTGTTTTGTTATTAAAAAAGTCGTTGTTTATTAGACGCGCAGATCTCTGTTAGTATAGGATTAATCTAGCATTAATCTTACATTATTATTATTATAATATTACATTATTATATTATCGCTATATTATTATATATTTCGAAAGCATTTCTCTATTTCCCAATTACCATATTCCTATAATTCATCCACCATCGTAGGTTTATCTTATATCCACGAAAAAATTAGGTTTATCGAGTGTACAGGTTGATCGTGAGCATCTCGAAGAATTCCGACAGATCTCTAAATCCCTTCGTTGGCGGAAATCACTTTGCAAAAATATGATTAACGAAGATTCTCGAAATAGGATTTCTATAGTATGTTGTCGTTGTCGTTGTTTTCGGTGTTGCTGCTATTGTCGTCGTTGTCATTGTCGTGGTCGTTGTCGCCGCTATAGTCATTGTCGTCGTCGTCGTTGCCGCTGCTATTGTCGTGGTCGTTGTCGTTGCCGCTGCTATTGTCGTTGTCGTTGCCTCTGCTATTGTCGTTGTCATTGACGTTGCTGCTATTGTCGTTGTCATTGACGTTGCTGCTATTGTCGTTGTCGTTGCCTCTGCTATTGTCGTTGTCATTGATGTTGCTGCTATTGTGGTTGTCATTGACGTTGCTGCTATTGTCGTTGTCGTTGTCGCTGCTATTGTCGTTGTCGTTGACGTTGTCGTTGCCTCTGCTATTGTCGTTGCCATTGACGTTGCTGCTATTGTCGTTGTCGTTGTCGCTGCTATTGTCGTTGTCGTTGCCTCTGCTATTGTCGTTGTCGTTGTCATTGTTGCTGCTATTGTCGTTGCCGTTGTTGCTGCTATTGTTGTTGTCGTTGCTATTCTGGCTGCCTCTGCTATTGTTATTGGTGTTGTCATAGTTATCATTGCCAATGTTATTGTTTTGGCATTGCTGCTGTTGTTATTGCTATTGTTGTTGTTACTGCTATTGTTGTTGATGTGAGTCGGGAAAAACTCTGGCAAAGGAAACAGTATTAAACCGTTGCACTCAACGATTTTTTGACTAAAGGAGAGTGGGAGTACGAAGATTTTCTGCTTACAAAGCGGACGATACTTTTTGGAGCAGTAAATAAGAAATAGTATAATAACTGACACAAAGAATTATTTAATTTCAATACCTCGCACAATTATATTATAATATTATCATAATATTTTAGTTCAAGTAAATCTGTTTTGTTATTAAAAAAGTCGTTGTTTATTAGACGCGCAGATCTCTGTTAGTATAGGATTAATCTAGCATTAATCTTACATTATTATTATTATAATATTACATTATTATATTATCGCTATATTATTATATATTTCGAAAGCATTTCTCTATTTCCCAATTACCATATTCCTATAATTCATCCACCATCGTAGGTTTATCTTATATCCACGAAAAAATTAGGTTTATCGAGTGTACAGGTTGATCGTGAGCATCTCGAAGAATTCCGACAGATCTCTAAATCCCTTCGTTGGCGGAAATCACTTTGCAAAAATATGATTAACGAAGAAGAGCGAACGGAAAGAAATGATTCTCGGTTAGACAGGAAGGAAGGAATGGGAGGAATTGGACAAGGAGACACCGTGTCGGAACAGAGAAGCCTGATCGTTCGATATCTCGAGGCGCGGTTTTCGAGAGCCCTTTCGGAGCTTCGGCTAGTGAAGGAGGTTCGTGGTCGGATAGAAAGGCGATGCATTCGAGGATTACCGTGACGATCGGACTTTCCGTGGAAATTCTGAAGAGTTTACCGAGCGGGCGAACGCGAACACAAGTTTGTCCAATATCGTTCTACTGACAAACGTAGTCAGATACAGGCGAGTCCAATTTGGCCGACATGTGATTTCCACGGAACTCGTAACCAGCAGGAAATCATGGACGAGACGAATCGTGTATTTCTTTCTTCAAACAGCACGAGAGCGTTGAATCGTTGATGAGACAGGATCCGATGATATGAGAAAAATTCCAATTCCACGTTCGGACAATATTTTCCTATCTAATAAATCGAAATATCAATGAAGATGTACTTTTTAAATTTAGCTGCAATTTAGTTCGAATTTAGTTAGAGAAGATGCTCAGTTTAAATCGATGAAAGATTGGAACTGTTGTTTCAACTAGCTGCAAGTTAGTAGGTGATGTTTCCACTAACAACCCTAGATCTAACATCTCGATATAGAGACCATTTGGACTACAAGTTACTCTAATCGCAAAAATCCTGATCACTCGAATTAGAGAAACTCTGTGATCATCTCTGATTCTAGAATGGAGTCGTCCGATCACTCGCATAAATGAAGCACATGATAAAGGAACGATACTTGGACTGACTATAGTGATAGATCCAGCACTTGTGTGACCAATTAATGCACAAAAATCACAGTTATTCGAATAATTGGAACACGTTGGAGAAACAATGCTTGGATAAAATAACACTGTAAAGTTCAGGTGAACTAGAAGTCACCCAATATTCATAAACACCAATCATTCACAGACAGAAGCACATATCAGAGAAATAATATTTGACCTAACAACACTGGCAGACCCAATACCTCTTTGACTATCCCATATAGAAGTCACCCAACTCATAAAAATCCTGATCACTCCCAAAATCGAAGCATAGTAAAGAAACAATGCTTGGTCTATCAACACTGATAGACCCAACACCTCTACGACCATTTCATCCAGAAATAATTTAATCCACAAAAATCCTCACCACTCAAATAACTAGAACACGTTGAGGAAACAAAGTTTCACTTAGCAGCACCTCTATAACTCAGCCAATCCTCAAAAATCCCAATCACTCCCAAAATCGAAGCATAGTAAAGGGGCAATGTTTGGCCTATCAACACTGATAGACCCAACACCTCTACAACCATATTTCATCCAGAAATAATTTAATCCACAAAAATCCTCACCACTCAAATAACTATAACACGTTGAGGAAACAAAGTTTCACTTAGCAGCACCTCTATAACTCAGCCAATCCTCAAGAACCCCAATCACTCCCAAAATCGAAGCATAGTAAAGAAACAATGCTTGGTCTATCAACACTGATAGACTCAACATCTCTGCGACCATCTCATCCAGAAATGATCTAATTCACAAAGATCTTAATCACTTCCAAAATGGAAACATAGTAAAGAAACAATGCTTGGCCTATCAACACTGATAAACCCAACACCTCTACAACCATATTTCATCCAGAAATAATTTAATCCACAAAAATCCTCACCACTCAAATAATTAGAACACGTCGAGGAAATAATGTTTCATCTATTAGCATCACCTCTATAACTCATCCAATCCTCAAGAACCCCAATCACTCCCAAAATCGAAGCATAGTAAAGAAACAATGCTTGGTCTATCAACACTGATAGACTCAACACCTCTGCGACCATCTCATCCAGAAATTACCTAATCCACAAAAATCCTAACTATTAAAATAATTAGAACATGTTGAAGAAATAACGTTTCATCTATTAGCACCACCTCTATAACTCATCCAATCCTCAAGAACCCCAATCACTCCCAAAATCGAAGCATAGTAAAGAAACAATGCTTGGTCTATCAACACTGATAGACTCAACACCTCTGCGACCATCTCATCCAGAAATGATCTAATTCACAAAGATCCTAATCACTTCCAAAATGGAAACATAGTAAAGAAACAATGCTTGGCCTATCAACACTGATAGACCCAACACCTCTACGTCCATCTCATCCAGGAATAATCTAATCCAGAAAAATCCTAACCACTCAAATAATTAGAACACATTAAGGAAACAACGTTTCACCTATCAGCACTAACTCTTTCAATCTGTGTCTCTGACTGAATTACAATCCTTAATTATCCTCCTTTATAATCCTCAAGGATGACGATAAGGCACGTCTAACCTTCACCACAACCAACAGCCTCTAAGACCATCTCACAAACAAGTCACCTAACTCACAAACATCCTGATCACTGGTAAAATCGAAGCCCATTAAAGAAACTTACTCATACTTTTCCTAGGACAACACCCTTAAACCCAACACCCCTCAGACCCCCAGAACCAGAAGCCACCTAATCCGGGAAAACCATAATCGCTGGTCCTGGTTCCAGCACATCATAAACCCGCGTTCGTCTCGAAGCAGAGATGATATCCACGGTATTTTCTGACATTACAGAGCTCCATATCCGTATCGTAAACTCGGACGAACGTAAAATATCGAGCATCATTTTCTCGTGTCGCCGGAGCCATCGGAGAGGAGCAGGCTCGGCGTGGAAAATGCTGTTCGAGGCAGCGCGCGCGCAGGTTGATCCTTGCGATCCTGATTGCTCGTGTAACCGGTACGCGTAGGCTACCTTAATTTATTACGTAGAAATTTGCATGTCGACTCGCATAAACAGCCGGGACGAACGATTCCGTACGACGCGAGTGATAAGAAAAGAGCAGCGATTTTTCGCCAGCCACGACCGGTTCCATGGCAATTACTCCTATAACGAACCGGATCGACTAGTCTCGCGGACTGCCGGTTTGCTACTAATTCGCGCTTTTTGCTATTCACCAGTGAGTAACGATAAATGGCCATCGTCCAAGGTAGCGACAGTTCGATCGTTCGGGTTCGTCGTTAAGATGAGACTGGTTTATCTGTATTGTTGGGGATATATTATAATTAGGTTGGCAGGCCTTTTGCTGCTCTTAAATTACCACGGTATATAGTTCGACTGATAATTCCGTTTTTGCTCTAGCACACGAGCACAGCTTCCACTTTTTCTACCGCTTTCTTGTAAGATTTACCTCGCTTCGGAAATGGTTATCGGTTAATTCGATTTATTTTTTTTATTGGTCGTTATTGTGATAATTCTTTGCGTTTAATAGCAGATTTTATGTACTCGATTATATTACTTAAATGGTGTTTTTTCGTCGTTATCTATGAATAGAATTCTGATTTTTCTTTTTCTTTTCTATTTTAATATTTAATTTTGCATGCGAGGAGATTATCAGATAATTTTATGTTTATTATTGTGACAATTGCTGTTATTACTTTTTGTTGCTGATATCGAGTAATTTTTATGACAAATGTTTTATATTTTTGGTCGTTATCTATAAATAGAATTTTGATTCTTCTTTTTCTTTTCTATTTTAATATTTAATTTTGTATGCGAGGAGATTATCAGATAATTTTATATTTATTATTGTGACAGTTGCTGTTATTACTTTTTGTTGCTGATATCGAGTAATTTTTATGACAAATGTTTTATATTTTTGGTCGTTATCTATGAATAAAATTCTGATTCTCCTTTTTCTTTTCTATTTTAATATTTAATTTTGTATGCGAGGAGATTATCAGATAATTTTATGTTTATTATTGTGGCAATTGCTGTTATTACTTTTTGTTGCTGGTATAGTGTAATTTTTATGACAAATGTCTTGTATTTTTGGTCGTTATCTATAAATAGAATTCTGATTCTTCTTTTTCTTTCCTATTTGGATATTTAATTTTTATGTAGGGGGGTTATTGGTTAATTTTATGTTTATTATTGTGACAGTTGCTATTATTACTTTTTGTTGCTGATATCGAGTAATTTTTATGACAAATGTCTTATATTTTTGGTATAATAATTAGTTGTTATTACAAGTTATCTTTATATGCGAATAAAGTTTCTTATTTTTCTTTCCTGTCTTCATTTCTGCTCGTTTGTGAAGCAATTGTCGATCAATTTTGTATTTCTACGAAATATCCTGAATGTGTCTAAAATTAAGATTAAAACGAAATTCGCTCGTATCTCAATTAATTTTATATTAACTCTGTGCAAATTATTATAATAATTAACATTGCTTATTAGGTAAATTTTAGATAAATTTTTGAATGTAATAAACGTAAACTATTCCTCCTTCATTCGGAAATTAATCTTCGAATTTAACTAGAAATATAACATAATTTTGTAAATTAGGTGAACTTTGCGAAGCTCGAATTAAATTTCACATATTTTGTGTAATGACTCTAATAGAAATTTCCGACAGTATATTGTTTGGACCCGTGGAAGCGCAGATATATAATTAAGGGAAATATCAACTACCCTCGCAGCAACAAATAATCGAGTGTATATCATACAACGCAGCAGTAATAAATTTGATAAAAAGAGAAAAGAAAAATAAACAAAAGAATAAATAATATTTTCATCTGTTGCAAAAATTTATCGTATCATATATCGATTAATTTTAATAAGAACAATTAATACGTAAATGTACTTAATTAATTAGAAATAAACACGTGTAATTAAATTTCCAAATATTCTCGTATTTATTACTTAAAAGACACCATAAAAATAACTATGCTGTATTACAAGAGTGTCTTTGAAAACAGCATGACGTTTTCGAATAGTTCGTGACATGTTTCCATTTCTAATTAAAATTTATACTCGTTCAGCTTCGAAACCGCTTTTACCAGGACTTTGCGTTCCTGTGATACGGAATACAGATCCCTGGCATAGAAAAAAGGAAAAAGAAGAAAAATAAAAGAAAATAAAAGAAAATAAACACAGATCGATGAACACAAATATCTGTTGACCGAGCATAGACGTTTTATTCGATGCAATTTTTATAGTTGATACAACGCTATAGGGGTGGTAGTGGGTACGATTTATGTGCAGGGAACACCTGACAGGGTTGTTCAAGACACTCGAAACATTCGAATAGTTTGAAATTCAGATGAAATAAAATTTGTCGAATCTGTTCCGTCCGAAAGGTTCATTGGGAAATTTTGTAATAGCTACGGACCTGGTGCAACCACGTGCGGATATAAACGCGAAACCGATAAAAATGAACGCCATTTCAGGGATAACTCGATATCTCGACTGCATCAAATTCTTGGATTTCTACGTCTGTCAGCTTATTACAAATTCTCCGAATCCCTTTTAAGAAATTTTCCAACGTAGCTCTCGATCAGTGTCATCCTCGTCGAATTTTCCTGTCTGACCGAATCGAATATTTCTTTAATTTCGGTGACCAAATTAATTCCAATTTTACTAAGCTTCGTAGAAACATGGTTCGTTCTAAATAACGAAATAATTGCGTTAATTATTATATAACGAGTAAAGGAGTAGTGTATAGCAATTACAATATTCACACTGATTCAAACTTCGTAGCTGTGAAATATTTTTCTCATCGTTATCACAGATATTCAATTATCGAATTTAAATATTCGTTACAATAAATTAGAAATTAAAGCACGATACTCGCAATTACCGCAATTTTGCTCATTTCCATAGAGAAATTTTATTTTCAATTAATCGCAATTTAACCAATTAAATTTGGCATTGTTATTAAAAATATTGCTCTATCTCACTCACCAAATTTCGATATTCTCTATGGTAAATGACGAAATTGAATATTTCTTTAACTATAATATTCGCATTTTCATGAAAACGAGTCTTGAATATATTTCTAATTATTTTCTCTAGGATAAATGACGGAATCAAAGATTTCTTTAATTACAATATTTACATTTTCATGAAAACGAGTCCTAAATATATTTTTTATTTTTTCGTCTATAATAAATAACGGAATAAATACTTCTTCAACTGTAATGTTCATGATGATCGCAAATTTGCCGATTTTCATAAGAACGAAGCTTAAACCCATTTATCGTTACTATTATAATTAGGAATACTCGTCCGTCCAGCATATCCATAATTTTGATAAAAAGTTCGAGCTGCCAAATTTTATTTTCAATTAATCGTTACCTAAGTATGTTTGTTATTGTTACTGAAAAATGATCCTCTATCTCGTTCACCAAATTTCAAATTTCTCTATTCTAAAATTGGGTGAATAGAAGATTACTTTAATTCACGTTTTCATGAAAACTAGTTCTGAATATATTTCTTATTATTTTCTCTAGAATAAATAACGGAATAAATATTTCTTCAACTGCAATATTTAGGCCGATTTTAATTTTGCTGATTTTCATAAGAACGAGACTTAAACCCACTTGTTACTATTATAATTAGGAACACCAATCTGTCCAGTATATCGATAATTTTGAAAGAAAAAAAAAGAAATTGGACTAACAAATTTTGTTTTCAATTAATCATA